CAGGGACTGAGGGAACCAGGGCCATGACAGCCAGCAGCCAGCATTGTGTATAACAGGGTCACCAGGGTCACTGCTGGCCAGGAGCTCAGAGCATGGCGCTGCATGGCACCATGCAGCAGAGGAAGAGGCTGTGGAAGGGTGTGGTATACATGTTCATGAATGTGTTAAGTGGGTTAACTAGAGGCAAGTGGTAGGGACTTGGGTGGGGCCCCCCAATCACAGCTCACATACTGCCTAGGTGGAGAGTTGCTCTCCTGCTGAAAGGGGGAGACAGACCCAGGAGCTCCAAGGCTGCTAAGATCATGAGCATCACACAAGTCCTCTTTAACACCCTCAAATGCCCTGCAGCTATCCTGCTGCTCAAGGGAGGCTGGGGTCTTGAAGCAGCACAAAGCCAAAAAATGGGACCAGGGAAACAGAAACTGAGAACTTCTCAACTCCTGGTGTGCACCCAGAATGGTGCTTTGTTAGTGGAATGCTGGGAGGCATCGGGAAAAGGGCTTGGGGAAGTTGGGGGAGGTAGGAGGTGAGTAGGTTGGGGCTGCCTCTCCTCCACGGGCCCCAGAATGATGGGTTCCCAAGAAGGGCTGGCAGACAAAAGAGAAGACAAGTCTCATATGGTTTGCAGGTCCCCAGACTCATCGCTGGGGATTGGAGGGGGAGCTAATGCCTCTAATGCTTGTCTATTCTTAAAAGGATTGGCTAAATTTACATCTCCTAATGCTATTTGTCACTGGGCACGTGGGAAAGGATGTTGGACCTAGCTTATTGTCTCTGGGCTGAAGGGTGCTCCTGGATGGACTGGGTCTCATCTTTTGCTCCAGACCTGTAGCCCCTGAGGGTGCTGTGAGCGTCCCAGTCTCAAGCCAGGCAGGGCCAGAGGGTTAGGGAGAGAGAGTGACTTCCCACCACAAGCCCTTTTGCTCTGTTCCGGCTTTCTAAGGAAGCCACACGGCTCTGGGATGACAGCAGCAAGGGGGTGGGCTGTGTGGGCTGGGTGAGGGGAGAGGACACCAGCGTGGGGGAAGGCTCCTTTTCATCAGAGAACAGCTTTTCATTTCTGGCCTTAAAAATAGGCATCCAGGCACCTCGGGCTATAATGGCAGCATGGAGTGTGATAGGCCGAAACAGAGGGGTGGACATCCTGGGCCACCCAGCTGGGACAAGGTCCTTTAACGCATAGAAGCAGCCCCAGGAGAGCACTACTGTCCTTCCCTCACACAGCCATAGAGGTGCCTAAGCCTGGCAGCCCTGCAACCTCTCTGGGAATCATAGCAAAGGAGCCCCTGCTGGTCCTTCTGCAGCCTGAGCTCCTGAGCCATCCATCCTGTGCCCACACATGCTGCCCCGCCTGCCTGCGGCTACCCCTTTAATACCTTTTAAAGCAAAGTACAGCCTCAGCACTTTTTCTCCTTCTCCTTCAGGCCCTTTTTGTTTCTCCCCATTCATCACCAGAGAATGGGGTCAGGGCTAGGACCCAGTGCGCAGACGCAGGGACAGGTTCCTGGGATCTGCCTCCCTCTGCACGCTCTACGTCCTAGACGGCCACAATCAAAAGTGTCCCCTCACTTCTTCCACCCTCTCCTCTCTCCTTTTCCTTCTTCCTTTGTCCCCAGCCTTCTTTGCTTTCACTGATCATTAAAACGGAAGCCCCTCCTTGCTGGCTCTCAGCTCAGCCAGCAGTCCATCTATGTAGGGGTTTCCCATCAGCTCTTACTGTGAAGGAGAAACTGAGTCAGGGGAGACACCCAGAGCTCAGGTGGGAAGGGACCCAAGCCAGCCCTGGTGGACACCATCACTTTCCCTGTCTCCAGCTACTCTGTTCATCCTTATTCTTCTTGCCTTAAAAAGGTTGTGGAGCTTCTAGGCTTATGCCTGAGAGAAAAGAAACAGGGATTCAGGCAGATATTTGTACCTCTGAGTTCACAGCAGCATATTCATAGTAGCCAAATATGGAAACAACCCACCTGCAGGTCAGTGGATGAATGAATATATAGACTGTGGAAAATACATACAATGCATTATTGTAATACAGTGTCTTATCAGCCATAAAAGGGCATGAAATTTTGACATGTTATAGCATGGATGAACTCTGAACACATTACAGTAAGTGAAATAAGCCAGTCACAAAGCATAAATATTATATGATTCCCCTTGTACAAAGTACCCAGAATAGACCAGTTCACAGAGACAGAAGAAGAGCAGTGGTTACCAAAGCCTGGGCCAGGGGGATGAAGAATTACTGTTAGGTAGGTGCAGAGTTTCAGCTTGGGATGATGAAAAGGCTCTGGGTGACAGTTACAGAACATTGTGAATGTACTTAAAGCCACTGAACTGTATACTTCAAAATGGTGAGTTTTAAGATATGTATATTTTACCACGGTAAAAATAATGTCTGTGTGAGGGCACAAGTTCCTCTCTGAACTTCTGGCCTGAGAGCTGTAGAGAGGGACCCAGCAGAGTACTCTGCCTCTCCCTGCTCCTAACTCTCCTGCAGAAGAGGAGCCCGGAAGTCCCACCCTGTAAGTGCCCCATCCCACTGAAGGAGGGCCTCAGCCTTCTGGAAGAGTTGCACTGTAGAATGCAGAAGCCAGGGAGTGTCCCATGAACTGGACTCTTGGGGAAAAGAGGAGAAAGGGGAAGGACTGGTGAGCAGTGATGTAGGTCTGGTCACCACTGAGGAACCACAAAGAATGTGCCTCAGAATTTTCACCTGAGACCAAAAGGGGAGTATTTGTCCCAATCAAGGGCTATTCTATGGGATATTAGCTCCTCACACACATGTTCGGGTTGCTGGGACTGAGCCCCAGGTGGTTCCTGTCAGAGGAGCTTTGGCATCGGGGTCAAGGGTGACTGAGGTGAGACACTATTGGCCATACCACATGCCACGTGACTCTGATTAGATAGCTGGGGCTGGAGTAGAAGGTGGCCAAGACGACATGAGGGTGCACGAGGTACCCAAGACAGGTGCCCACTGGGGAGTCCTCTTTTTCCCTCTGGATACCAAAAGGCTTCAGGGTTGGGATGGGTCTCAGTGCCTGCACTTCCTCAGTGAGCCAGTGTGGAATTGGGGTCATTACCACACCCAGGCTCCCTCACAGAACTGGTATGGTGCACTGATTCAAGCATGCAGGAAGGACCTAGCAGCACAGGCTGGAGGCTGCTGCCATAGACAGAGGCCAGCATTCGATCCTCCTGGAAATGGCTCTGGCTCCGTGTCTAGTTCCTACAAAACCTCGCTCTCTGTCTATACCTGTCAGGTGTGCCAGGAAGCCCTTGATAAAATCAGAAGTCTTCGAGGAACAGTGGGCAGAGCCTTAGGCACTGACTGTCCCTACAGGTAGCTCCTTTTCTGCCCTCCCTGGGAATCAGCCTTATCTTTCCCATTTAGCTCAGGCCACTGGGCACAGCACCAATCCTGCGTGAGACACCCTTATGGAGCCAGCACCTTGAAGAGTTCTCTGCTTATTGGCCTGGCAGTGAGGAATGAAGTAGTAGGAGCTGTCCTGAGGCCTCTCTGAACCTCTATTTCCTCTGCTAAATAGTATAACTATTTAATTTCATGGGCTCATCCTGTAGGTGAAGTGTGTGAAGGCACATCAAGTGCTGAGAACATGATAGGGTGCAGTAAACACTCGCAGTGCTCGTACCCATAGCCTGGACTGGGTGAATCCTTTGCCTACTGGCCTTCCATTGAGCCAGGGAATTGGACTAATTGCCAGATGGCCTCTGCTTTAGCACTGCATGACTATAAGGACCTCTAGTTTTGGAAAATGGGAGAGGTTGCCCCTGGATGAGGGTCAGTGTGAGCAAAGTACAGGAAGCAGGAGGGAACATCCTGTGTTAGTTTTCTATGGCTGTGTAATATGTTGCCACAACCTTATGGCTTAAAATAATATCTGTTTATCCCTTCCCAGTTCTGTAAGTCTGCAGCTCAGCAGTCTTAACTGGGCTGTTCTCCTTCAGAAGAAAACTGATAGGGGGCGGGGGGGGGGGTGGCTTGGAAGCACTCTGAGCCCTGCCTCACATTCATTACAATTAGCACTCAGCCAGCCCTTGATTATTAGCCCATAACTGCATTCCCTAAAAGTGCTCAGGAATTTAAGGTTTTGAAATTCAAATGCCCTTTCAGCACACTGGCCTTGGCCTTTTTCATCCACAGCAGCATCCATGCAGACCCTGTGTGACTTCAGGGACGAGGAGAGAGGCAGTGGGGATGTCCTTGCAGGCTGGGGCCCCATGGGGATGGGCTGGCCCAGCCTGGCCAGGAGGGGTGTCCTTCAGTTGGTCAGCACAAGCTGACTTCTCAGGAACAGCTGGTCATGTCTGCCAGGCCAAGCTCCAGAGAGGGCCAGGGGGCTATTGAGAGTGGCCATACTCCTCTGGAGGGTGACAGTGTCCGTGGCTTGACCACACTTGCACAGACAACCTGCCAAGCCTTTCATGTTCTGTGGGTAAAAGGCAGCCACAATCCTACAGCGGAATGGAGCACATGTTCCCCAAGCTGTCTCATGGCAAGGCTGCTAACCTGAGGCCCACAGGATGCAGCTAATTATGGGGACTGCCTAGTGACCAGAAAGAAAGTCTTAGAGGGCTCAGGCCCTTCATAGAGTTTGTATTTGGACGCCTGTACCTCCTAATTCTTGGATCAGGGATGTAACGGCCTGTGGCCTGTTCTTGTGGGAATTTTTGTGAAATCTAAGTCAGATAATGGCACTCAGGCACCAGTCATGGTTCATCTTCTGCTTTTCCCAGACAATAAGGCCTGGGCAGACACCAGCCCTAACAGTTGCCCTCAGTTTCCCTCCTTTTGCAGTAGGAACTCAATATATTCTTTATGCTAGAGATAAACCAGTGCCCACTGACTTTGCTGTCACTTGGGAGATCAGAATGTCATGGAAAAGGAGACAAAGCTTCTAGGAGGGAGTATTTCCCAAGTGGGACGTTGTGCTCACCTCCAGCAGCATCTCATGGAGTCTGTCTATTCTCTTTCCTACCAGCCTGCCCAGGCCCCTGAGCTGGAGGGATGGAAAACTCTTCCGCAGCATCGGCCTCCTCTGAGGCGGGGAGCAGCCGCTCCCAGGAAATAGAGGAGCTGGAGCGCTTCATTGACAGCTATGTACTGGAGTACCAGGTGCAGGGGCTGCTGGCTGATAAGACGGAGGGCGACGGCGAGAGCCAGAGAACACAGTCCCACATCTCCCAGGTGAGCGCTGACCGAGGGTGGGGCTTGGCAAGCTCAAAGGGGATGATACTCAGGATTTAATTCTGGCCAGTGTCTGATCACCTGGCCCACGACTGCCAAGCTGTGAATGATTCCCCATGGCGCGGCACCTGGAATCATGTAGGAGAGACTTTGGGCTCCAGGCAGGAAGCTCCCAACAGCTACATACACCTGACTCCTTGAACCTACTTCTACTCCCTGCCCATGGACAGCTGAGGGCCCGCCAGACTCATGAGCCTTTGAACACATGTTTATTGAATACCTACTATGTGCCAGTCACTGTTTCCTGTCTCTACAATCTTTTGTGGAGATTATTATCTGGAGATCATAGCTTATCCATAATGCATACCGCTAGAGAACTGTAACTTAAGCATATTTTCTCTGAGTTCAAATACCGACAGTTGTTAGAATCCTAGGAAATGAGTCTCCTGGGTACTCCCCCAGGGCTCTGAGTGCCAGTGTACTTCGATGCATGAGGTGTTCTGACCAGAATCTCAGGCTATCTTTCCGTTCTGTGTCAATCTGTGGCAGCCCTGGCTTTGGACGGGACGTGGCCTCAGCTCAGTGTCCCAGTTCCTGTCTCTTGTATTTGTCCCACCCCCTGCCTTGGACAAGGAGAAGGGGAGGTACTTGGGAGCCCTGTTTTGGAGAAAAGCTGGATGCAGCCACCTGTTTGTTCCCTGTCTGGGTGGAAAGAAAACCCAGTCCTCCTGCCGTTTTGAAAGCCAGAACGGCCCTGTGGCTTTCCTGGAACTCAAACCAGGAAATCAGGATGGGAGCAGGGGCAGAAAATAGCCCTGTGGGAGAGGCAGAAATGGGGTGATGCTTTCCTGTGTGCCCTTGAAGTCCTACAATCACAGCGTATAAGCCTGTGTTGTGCTCTCACCCAGTCCGTGGGAGTATATTAAGCACTCTACCCCACCCCCCCATGCCAGGCACTGCTCTGCACTGCTCTAGGACTCAGTGTCCAGGACTGAACAAAACTGCAAAGACCTCTGCCCTCCTGGAACTTACATTCCGGTGCTGGGGGATCTTGCAACATAAAGAGAAACATAAAGCAAGGAAATGGAAGGGGGTGGCCATGCGGAGCATGGCGGGGGTGCAGTTTTAAACCGAGTGCTCGGGGGTGATGTCAGTGATAGAGGGGAAAGGGTAAGCCATGCACATATTGGGGAGAAGGAACTTTTGAGATAGAGATGAGCATGTGCTAAGGGTTGGGCCGGGAGGAGTCCAGGCCCAGCCAAGATGTCAGAAGGCTGGAGTAGAGGAGAGGAAGGCTGGGTAGCAAGGCAGAGAGAGAATGAGGGTCAGGTAGGCAGGAGGTGCAGGACTGAGCTCTAGGGTCCCTTAACCCTTGGAAAGAAGGGATGTGAAGAGGCGGCATTCAGAGAGCCCAGGGAGGCTGGAAGAAAACTAAGACAACATAAAGTGCTGGGAGCCTAGGGCAGAAGGTGTTCAGGATGTGGGGAGAGGGTGGGTTGCCTTGGGTGCTGTTGCTGGGCCATATAAGAGGAGGGCCAAGAATAACCACTGAGCAGTGAGGCCATGGTGGCAGTGACCTGAGAGGCTTCAGTTGAGTGGCAGAGGTGGAATCCGGCTGTGGTTGGATCAAGGACAAGAGGAGATGGTTGGAAATCAGTCCTGTAATACTACCTGTAACACTACCTTGAGGAGGAGTTTAGCTGTAAAGGGGAAAGAGATGAGTGGTATTGGGGAAGTGAGGTTAAACAGAGCATTAACAACAAGTTCTTGGGAATGCTCCAAGGGAGAAGAGAGGACAGCTGGAGCAATGGCCTCTCTCTGTCCTCAAGCAGTCGTCTAGAATGACACCTGTGGCACTGTTGTGGGTTTTTCCCAGCTACTTTCAGCCGTGAAAGTGCAGGTGCAGAGTTACAAAGGTGACCTTCACCAGGACTGAACTTTCTCGAGGAGGGAGAGGGTGAGCGAGTAAGGATGGTGAAGTAGCTGGATGCCCAGCCAGGCTAGGAGGGGAGTGGGCACCAGAGACAGGTAGTGCTGAAGGGTGATAGAATCAGAGGATCGGAAGTCCTGGTGAGCTAACAAAAGGACATGAGTTGGAAAGCTAGGAAGGGTTTCCGGGAGTGGGGCGGGAGGGTGTGCAGGAGCTGGCAAGGAAGGGACCAGTGAGAGCACAGGCGTGCATCAAGAGGGAGAGACCAGCAGGAGACCAGGATGTGGGACCAAGGCAGGACATTGGCACCATCTCCTGGATTTCCACATTCCCAGGAAAGGACCAGAGGGTTATGGAGGAGGTGGCTGTGATCCAAGAGGGTTGAAGGGGGTGAGGTGGTAGGTGGGTGAGCTGGTGAGCTACAAATGACTGTGAGGAGAGTAGCAGGGATCTTAGCTGAGGGTGTGTTGATTTATTTGTGCAAATTCATTTCTTGATTTAAACTGCTGAGCTGTACAGTTAACAATATCATGACCTGGAGTAGAAGGGGGAGGCAGGAAGGATGAGTTGGAAAATTTCCAAGGAAAATCAATCTCTTTGGTTAAAGAGGGCAGAAAGGGCAAGAACTAAGAGAACCATGACTGCCTCAGGATTGGATGCCCAGATCTGGGAGGCAGACAGGTCATGACTCTAGAGGGGCCTCTAAAATGGACATTTGTTGGGGGAGGGGCGCTGCTGGTTGTAACTTTCAGACACATTCCTTAAACTTTATTCATGCTCTTAAATTCCTTAGAAGAAGCAGATACCTGGCAGGACTGCAGACTGGCCTGTATGCTACTGGAGAGGAGGGGCTTTCTAGTCCTGCTGCCACAGGCCCCTGACTGCCCAACACCCAGACCCACAACATACCTGGGGACAGACTCCAGAAGAGCCACCGTTGTGGTCAACTCTACCCAGGGCCAGAGTTAGATATGTCTACCTAAGAGACTTCTTTAAAAAAAATCTCTATTGACCCAGACTTGTGGGAAAGAGTTCTACCAAAGCACTTTGCCTGTTTTTATTTAATCTGATGACTATTTTAAATGAAAGCCAAAAAACAAAACTGCACTCAAAGAATGTTCCTGTCTGCCTGTCTGTGGTTGCGTTTTGATGTTTCTGGGAGCAGAAAATTGTTAAGAATCTTGGAAACCTTGAGAAAACTTGAGGGAGTGGAGAAGAATATTGCTCTTCAGTTGGTGAGGTCATTTTTTAGCATCTGAAAGATGACAGTGGGCACCCAGGAAGAAGATAGCTCGTGACACTTGTACAGTTGTGTTCCCATCTCTGCCCCAGTACCAACTAGAAAGCAAAGGTGAGCCAGGTGTGGTGGTGCACACCTGTAATCCCAGCTCTCTGGAGGCTGAGGTAGGAGAATCCTCACAAGGACAGAGGCCAGCTTGGGCTACATAGTGAGCTCAAGGCCAGCCTGAACTACACAATGAGACCCTGTCTCAAAAGAAAAAAAGAAAGAAAGAAACAGAAAGTAAACAGTAAAGATGGATGGATGGATATGTGGGTAGAAGAAGGATGGATGAATGAATGGGTGGATGGATGGATGGATGGAACTTCCCTTTCCTTAGATGAATATCCAAGAGAATATAGGTTTTAAGTTTCCCAACTCTTTGTTAATACCGTATTTAAAACTTCCTAATACCATATTTAAAAGTCCCACATTTTGAGAGTACTGACTCTCCAATGGATTCAAGTTCACAAAGTCACATCCTGAAAGTTGTCTTTACTCTGTCCTTGGGAGGAGGTGGATTATACCTTTCTCTGCAGGAGGGAAACTGAGACACAGTGATGGAAAATGGCCAGATCACCCTACTTGGTTGTGGCTGAGCTGATCCCAGAACCCCACCCTACCTCAGCTACTTCTAGCTCCCTGCTGGCTATGAGCTGTGACTGATGGGAGGTTGAGTGGTTAATATATTTTTTCATATGAAAGAGGACACCAAATCTTGTTGGCCATTAACCCATTGTGGAAGAGTTTGGGATGTTACGATGGGGGAAAGGTTGGCACTTCTGATGTTAATGGGTGACCTAGTAAATCATTAGGAGGCTTTAGAGAAGTGTTTGCAACTGGCTAAATGAATTATAGGGAGCTTTGAAAAACTTCAGTGCATGATCCCTACCCCAGAGATTCCTCTGAATGGTAAGCTTCCTGGTGACTCTGCTGTCCACTAGTGTTGATGCCCCAAGGCCAGTTCCTACTGCTCCATTCTCTGTAAAGGACAGGATGTAGGGACTTGGTGAAAATGATACACACTTACTAGAGACATAATTTTCAGTCTGTTTTTAACAGACCAAATTAAGAGCTCCTGAGGATGAAAATCGCTTCTTTTTTTTCTTTTGTTTTCTTTTTCTTTTTCTTTTTTTTTTTTTGAGACAGGGTCTCGCTATGTACTTCAGACTGGCCTTGAACTCACTGTGTAGCCTAGGCTGGCCTCGAACTCACAGCAATCCTCCTGCCTCAGCCCCCCAAGTGCTGGGATTACAGATATGCACCACCACACTTGGCCAGAAGATTGCTTCTTGCAGTCCTTTTTGAGGCTGCCAGGCCCTTGGGAACTCTGGGAACTCTAGTGGTCTTTTGAAGAGAGATGTGGCAGTGAGAGCATTCACATTGGCTTGCTGTCTCCCGTCACGGTTTTCCTTCTCCTTCCTTTCATGTTTCTCCTTTCCTTGTGCCTTCCCTATTAACTCTTTAGCATTCCTTTATCCCCTCTCTGGCCCTTTTCTGCCTTTCCTTCTACCCTTCAATCCATTTTCCCTGCTATCTTTGCTTGCAGGAGAAAGTGCTCGATGTTGGACCACCCATGAAAGGCTTAACAGAAGTGAGTCAGGAGCAGCCTGGGGTGGCCGGATTCATTATGTATTTCTGCCTTATTTAAACTTTTTTATTTTTAATTCTACAAGTACTTTATGCATACATTTGCACTATACAAAAGAATTCAGATATTAACAATAAAATCTCCCTTAGCTTCCCCCTCATTCCAGTGCCTTATCTCTATCTCCCATCAGATTGGTAAGT